ATTCTGGTGAAAAACTGGTCAGAATAATGTATTTCTGGGAAAACACAGAATAATTCTTTTTAAAGATGAATCCTAGATAAAAACTTAATATTTTTTTTTTTTTTGCTCAGAACAAGTTGTGATCACAGTATGGCTAACATCAAACCTTCCACAAAAGACCACACCTTGCTACAGAAGCCTGTATTAACAGCCAAAAATGGAGTGCAACAAATTTTTGACTGTTTCCGCTACGGCACAAGGGAGCTGAAAGTACTACTCCAACATGAAGTGGATTTGATATATGAATGCCGTATTTGTCGCAGCCTTTATCGCGGACTGCCAAATTTTATTGATCATAAAAAATCATACTGCACTACACGGATAAGTGTCACCAATGATATAGCAACAAGCAATCCTAATTCTGATGTACAGAATATATTCCGCAGGGAGAGTGAAGAAATGCCACAGCTTGAACTTGAAGTTTCTGAAGGCACAGAAAAGAAGGCAAACACCGCAGATGATATTGTGGGACATAATTACTGCTGTACTCCAGTAGTAAGTGAACCGCTTGTTGTTACAAGACCGATACAAACCACGACTAAGGCTGTTTACCAACAGTTGATTAAACCAGTCAAAAAAGTAGATCTGCGGGACCGCATTATGACAGCCAAACAGAAAACTGGTACCAGTCCGCCATCCTCCCATACAATCCAAAGTAGAGCTGATCATTTAGACACCACGTCATTGATTGATGAGATCAGTGCCAGGCGAGCTGCCAACGCTGGCATCATGGTGGTCCAGCCAGAGTGCCCAGATAAGAAATATGAAACAAGGAATGTGAGAAAGACAGAGGTTAAGAAAGAGGCAAAACGGATTTACAAACCAAAGGTGGTGTTAAAAAAGAAGCCGGAGGTGAAGAAAAAAGTCCAAAGCACTAGTGGCAAGCCTAAAAATTTTGCTGCATCACGGATTCAGAATCTGAAACCATACGGTCGTCCTTCTTCTAATCAGTGCATCTGTCTGCTGTGTAAGAAGGCATGTAAAAATCGCACTTCATTAGCCTGGCACATGAGAGTCCATAGCAAACATCTCTACAAGTGTCCGATTTGTCAGTATTATAACTACTCCTCAGACTATCTCAGACAACACATGCTTCTGAGACATGAGTCGTCAGAAGCTGAAATTGAGAAAGTCATTGAAAATCGGATTACCACAAAGCAGGATGTTAATATCCAGAGTGACAAAGAAGTGGCAGCATACACGCTTATCGTTAAAGATGGTAAGAAAATGTTAGCTTCAAAAAAAGTTGGAGGATCTACTGAAGCTCAAGTAACAGAGCTGAGTCCATCTGAGCTTAAAATAAAGAAAGATGTTGATGAGACTCAACTTCAGAAAATGACGATAGAGATGGAAAAAGAAAGTGAACTTAAATTGCCGCCTGTGGTCAAGTTCCCCCAGCCTAGTCTTACTCTTCACCCGTGCTCAATATGTGGGAAATCATTCGCCAGCAAGCGCAACTTAGCACGTCATGAAAAACAACATTTGCTGAAGGCGGAAGAGGAAGAAGAAGAGGTTGTAATAAAAAGAAAAAAACCTTTGAAGCCTTTGAAGAATGTATCTTCCAAACCGTGTATGAATGTTGATCAGGCGCGAGCCGACGTTGAAGCACTGATGAATGTGAAAAATTTGAAGTGCCTAAAGTGTGGCAAGCAGTTATATGCGTTGACGTCGTTGAGGAAACATGTTCGGAGTCATTTTGGATATAATAGCTACACGTGTAGGTTCTGTCCACAGTTCATTACCACTGACTACTCAAATCTTAAACGTCATCTCGCACGTAAACATGCTAAGAAGTTCCGTAACCCTGAGCAGATAAGAAGTGCTATTAGCACCATGAAGAGTGGTATCTGGCTATCCATCAATGGATCGGGTGCTCCGCGATCAAATGGGCCTAATTGCAGCTCCCCCATCGCTGTAAAGAAAGAGTCGCCTGAAAAGCACCAGGAATGCCAGACAAGTCCAGGTGGGGCTAGTGTGAAGTCAGCCTCTAGTACTGGTGGAAGTCCCAACAATCGTGGACAAGCACGGTTAGAACGCATCCCGTTTGAACTCAAATGTGACCAGGTGGTGAAATCTGGTTCTGGTCATACAAATCCAGCTAAGATGGCAGCCATTGCAAAGATTATTAGCGAAAAACACATGAGATGCGAGAGATGCAAAAAGAAGTTTGAATCTATGCAGTTGCTTAAGAAACATGCAGCAAGGCATCTTGGGTATCACACATTTAAGTGTAAGTTCTGTAAATTTGTCTCTCATAGCTATTCCTGGTTTAAAAATCATCTCAGAAAAGACCACCTTAAAAAGGTGAAAAGTGAGGAACAATTACGAAAATTAATGCGTGATATGAGAGTTATGAAAATGTAAATGAATATATTTCCCAATTATGAATTATGGCTAGTTTTTATGTATAATTTGATATATTCCTAATGAACTGCGACCCTGTACCCCTAAAAATTTATGAACTTGATTCAAATTAAACAAATCTTGGGTTGGGTTCATAGCCACAGAATCATATTTTTCATACCTGGAAAACGTTTCTGTTAGAGGAGTTGCACTTAATTTCGTCTTGGCGTGTCCAATATTCACAGTGTCAACTCTTAACTTTTTTTGTTTTCTTTTTTAGGCAAGGCATGCTAAATGTTAGCAGTGTTATCTAACCATTGATTCTGACCAATCACATAGATAAAAAAAAAATGTTTAGTCAATTTGATTAGCTGTAAGACATGTAAATTATAAAAGTGTTCATGGTAGTGAAGTGCTGTGAAACTAAATTGGTAATTTTTTTAATTACTGTTAATTTTCAGTTGATAATAGCTTGGTTACTAAAATGAATTTGGCTGTTCTCATAATACCAAAAAAAAATGAAGATTACAATGCTAAACACCCAGATTAAATTCAATTTGTTAACGCCACAGGCAATGTTTGTTACCTTCACAAAATAAACCCACATCAATTTTTTGAAATATTCCTTAATAGTAAAAAAACACATTATTCTGCAAAATGTTGCACCAAAAATTAAAAAAAAAATGAAAAAAAAATAATCGTATTTTTGCCAAAAAATACACATTTTTCTTTAATTACTTTGTAATTTTGAACTAAATTGACATATTTTGTTTATTGTCAATAGGTGTCAAACAAAAGTTCTGAAAAATGTGGAAATTTGTTTACAGATTATGTGATAGGTGATAAAATTTGACTTTGGTGTCAAAGGTCAAATGATTAAAGGTCAAAGGTTGAATAGACTCGATATAAATATGAGTCATATTTTCCTTATTCATTCAAGTACAACACTTCACTATTTTACCGTTGATTGGTTACTAGTAGTTAGTAATTTAGCCAGACAATACAAGTATACATTTGCTAGCAGACTTGTAAGATTACATTTCTGTTATGACTGTTGATGGTAATGTAGCTAACCTAAAAACTAGGTTTTGATTTTAACCTAGATGCTAGGCAATTATATGTCAGACATCTTCATGGTTTTGATTAATTTGAGTCTCTAGCACATTTAAAAATAATCAATTTGTTGTTTCTGTGTTATCTCTTTCAATGTGTACATGCATTTACGACATTGCTGTTCCAACTGGTTACCCTCCTCCACTTGCATCTGAAAATTGAAATATGGTACTGTAAAATGACTAATTTTCACTGGGTTTAAATTTCGCTGATTTACCATTTCAAGCATATTCAGTAAGTTTTAAAGTCAGTTTTATCATTTAAGTAATGTGTTCTATGCTAAATTTTACATATTACATTACATTTTGCGAAATAAGCAAAATTAAAACCCAGTAAATAATTAATCCTTTTACAGTATCTTCATCCCCAATGCTCTCAAATTATAATTTCCGCAGTGATGAAATCAAATTTTATCTTGTGTACTGTACGTGCATTAATTATTTGCTGCTTTTTAATTTTGCTATTTTTGTCAATAACTAAAATCCACTATTTTGAATTCATATGAATGTGTAAAATAACAATAAAATCTATTGTTTCTCTGCCATGTCTGTAACTTGAAACCCAGTGAAATTGGTCTAAGCATTAAAATAGCAAAATCAAATACTGTGGAATACTTTATTTTCGATGGAATTAATTTTCGCTGAAAGTTTTTTTTGCGTTTTGTATGGAATTTATTTTCACTGATTTTTGACGAGTTTGATGCAAAATATAGGAAAAAAAGTATATTCGCTGGATTTTATTTTCACGGAATCATCCCTTCAGCGAAAATAGCGAAAATAAACTAAGTGAAAATAAAGTATTCTACAGTATATGCTTTGACTTAACTGGCATTTCATGGATAAGGGACCACTGGAGCCAGGCTGCTCTGCTCCATGTGTAACATGATGCCTTCCAGTGCAAGTAATGTAGCTTGATGAAGCAGGCCATTCACAATGTCGTTGTTGTTCGTCATTTGTCGTAGCACAAGCAAAATTGAACATGCTGATTTTAAACTCTCTTTATAGGCATTTGTTTGTCAACACAGCTTAATTACTAGTACTGCACAACTCTCTTGTATCACATAATTGTGTTCATGTACTTTTCCCCTTCCACAACAGTCTAGTTTCACTGTGCTTCAGAACAGCTCTCTCTCTCTATTTTCACATGAATGTATTTAAAATATAGGCAAGGGTAGATTTTAGATTTATTGTTTTATAAATTTAAATGCATTTTCACCTTTTTTTTTATTTGCATTTTTCAGGAAAAAACTAACCATTAGTGCATGCAAGACCCCTTGCCCCCACCCCAGCTTGTAACCACCCTTAGTTGATGTTGTACAACTGATGAAAGCAGTGTCGAGGAAGACTGCATCACTCCATCGTGCCTTCCAACCAAACAATATAAAAATATGCACACATAAATTGATTTAACTCCATCGAGGTCGCACATCCTGGTACTTTAGTGACCTCAAAAAAAATGGAATTCTGGAACTTCATTGGCACAACTAAGTTCACTTGTTAAACAAGATAATTACTGCAGTTATTGCTTTTGTTCAATGTACAGAAGACTTGAGCTGCTGGACAATGATAACCACAATTTTACAATTTTTTACAACCTTTATTGGTTGTGTATCTGTATATGACTTATGAGTGCAGTGCACCATCTGCCTTTGGTTTGGAATGCATGACATCTACATATGTGGGCTACAATGTAATTATAACTTGTATTCTGCTAATTTCATGAGCTCAGAGAAATTTACTACCTTGGACCTTAATAGAATTCACTGACTTCCTAAGGAGCCAGGTGAAAGTAACTGACTCCCTAGGACCCTAGTGAAATACACTGATACCTTTATAGGAAGTCTGTGAAATTCACTGTAATTTCACATCACAAGGACGCAAATGAATTTTCCTTTTGTGTGCAAAATTTTCAAAATTCTGTCTCACGAAACACAGCTGTTATCACCAGTATTCCATTGTATGTATTGTATGATTATTGTCTCTATCCTCTCTGCTTTTATAGTGGTGTTTGAGCTATTTAAATCAGTTATGAAAGCAACGTTAAAATAAGTGAAAGTGCATTGTTATTGTATACAGTAAAATTAAGTGATTTAAGGTAGCGGGACTAATATTTGCATACTTGTTTTCATCTTCTAATTGTGACTAAATGACTACAAATAAACCCGGGAAAGTATATATTTTTAGAATCGCCAGATTTCAAGCTTTTCACAAGTGTATTTTGCATGCCGGTATCTGCATTCTACGACGTGTTACTCAATCAAAGGTGAAAAATTACTTTTTCTGTAAAAAAAATAATTACGCATTTATGCTGGTGATAAGAAGTATTTTTTTCACTTTTCCTAGTTGTTCAATAGTCTGGTAAATTGAATGTGTCTGGTCAGTTTTATTCAAGCAACGCGTTTTAAAAAATAGTGTGCTGATTTCATTACTGTTTTAGTCTCATTGCTCCCAACTCAA